AAATGATCAGGCACTTGAAGTTCTTCTTGAATCAACATCTGTTGATTAATAATCTCCTTAATCGAGTGATTTAATTTAAATATTGTTTTCTGCAATTCAATAAATAGATTATGCATTAGTTGAGTCCATTGCCACTATTGACATTCCACTTTTATCGCCATTATCATCTGATATTGTATAGACAAATGATGAAATGCATGATTATGGACTTCCATTTATATTAGTATAAAGCAAGTACATGATATCAAATAGTCTTGTTGTTAATGGAAGTGGTACTTTTAATATAAACGAAAGAGATACAGGATAGGCGTCGACTAAGAATGACAAAGGGTATCTAAGTGAAGTGAATGAATAACGAAGACAGATAATAGAGAAAAATGGTCGAGACACATGAGAGAGAATAAAAAAGAAAAGTAACGGAGAAAGAAAAGGCTAGGTGACCGTGCAAGAAAAGTATAGAACGAATTAGTCTAGAAGACCCACGATAGCGAGCGTGTACAAGTGAAATAATACATAAACAGAGTAGTTAATACTGTAGATATACAAATGATGGATATAGTGTGAAGAAAACTTCAAGCTTAGCATGTTGCTTCACATGAAGAGTAGATATACTGTTGATTCTTTCTTTTTTTACAATTGTTCGTAGCAACTGATCGAAAAGAATCGACTATTTGGTGTAACAATAAAACCCGCATACGATTAGGTGAGGGAATTATAGAAGAATTTAGTACTACATCAAAATATTAGTTGGACATATAGTATAATGTCCAGGAAACATGTTCTAATTTTATTTCGAGAAAAAATATATATGTATAATTTTTCCATTCTGTTCATAGTACTTTTTTCTCTTACGTTTGATCATGTGTTCATACAGAGAAAAAAGAAAAAACAAGCTCAGTTCTAATTGGAGGCTGTCAATACAAGCTGTTCGTATAATCTAGAGAACAATGAAATATTTATATCGTTATTTGTCTTGTAATTATTAACCTTATTTTTTGTATTGATATGAAAACAATATAAAATAATGTTAAAAAACAAAAATATAGAGTCATTGATGTAACGCTACGAATCACAAAAAATGGTACATTGCTTTTAAAAGTTTTCTGTTCAAAGGAGAAAGACTACAGAAATAGAACCATGTGAAACAAATTTTTATTTTTTATTCGAGGGAGACAATGTAAGTGTAGAAGTAATGGCGAGCAATAATACTCCTTGCGATAGTTCTCCCATAAGGCATACATCATCTATTCAGATGGAATGATCTATTTCTAGACATGTAGTGACTCCTTTTTGATTGTTATGCTATCCGTTATGTACAACCAAGAAAATTTCTTTCTATATTAGCCTTATTTTTCGAGATATGTAAGTGTAAGGAGAGTTGCGATCTTATCTCATAGGCTATGAGATTACTTTTAGCATGACAAAAGAAATTCAATTTCGTATTATGGAGAAAATCGTATAGTAAATGGGAAGGTCTACAACGTTTGTATGGTCTCTTTCGTCTGTACGGATGTCATATCTATGCTTATTGTCATACAAGCTCCGCATGATTCGCTCTGCGTTTACTCTTCATACAAATATTGGGACTTCCTGGTCACACGCGCGCACGATAGAAATGAGAGAGAGTCAGAAGAGTGAATTTTAAGGTAACACGAATGCTGCTCTCCTGATAGATATTTTCGTGACAGTTACTCCACAACAACAGTTACTTCCCAGAGACATTTGCTCACCAACGGTACTTAACAGAATTCCTATTGATTAGGATGGGTATGGGTGTGATCTATAGAAGACTCACACTCACACCCTTTTTATACTTCTATCTGTTTATACTATGATGAACATTCAATGAGGTTGATAACAAGCTTCAAATCAATTCGTGAATTTTTCATCGTTTTGTGAATCCTACACTAACTTATAACTGCTTTAGATGCTTCTTAGCTTGTAATAAACTGTAACTCTTGAAAAATTATTTTGAACTTTTCAATAGAGCACACATCGTTAAAATCCAACTGTCTGAAGAGTAGGTGTCGCTGAAGTATCTGTCAGGAGGGTCATGGAACCATGTCCAAGAGTTTTTTCTAGAAAGACAAACATATCAATCGATGAAATTCATCCGATCATTCCACTCTTTGATCGATGCTGATATAGAAGAACTAATAGGCTGTCCATTATAGAAAAGCTCTGTTATGTGTTGTATTTGAAAAATCTTGAAGCTTCTTCAATTCTGTAAATAAAAACTTTTTCCTATTACAACTCCTTGAACGCACTGCTATATTAGTTTTCTAAGAGTGAACTTCGTGTCTTCTCCTTCCATTGTTCTCGATGAAATATAGGCATTGTAAAGGTCCTTCTGTTTGACTTAGTTTTATGCGTAAGAGCTACTTCAAACAAAACTATCATTTCTATATGCTGAGCATCCTTAACTGGACCTTTCTTAAAATTACTCTTTGGTGATTAAAATGCCTCATTTCCAGATGTCATTGTTTTTTTGTTGCTTATGGCTACTTTTGACTTTCAATTTTAATTTTATTGTTAGTCTAATAATATTGAAAATCAAATATACTAGATTTCACACTATAGTTCATTCAAATGGCAACGCAAGTAACACTAACAAACATTACAAACCGATTAAAAGCCATAAAATTGCCAACTAAAATTCATCGAGCGTAATCAAACTTCTTGATAACTACCTAGACACAGGATGTCTCAAAAATTTTATAGTTGAGCATCAAAGTCTTTTGACACATTTTTGCTTAAACTTTTGAGTACGTAGTATGATAAAGCCACAAAAGCTCTATCATTTCACATATTCAATAGTTCAAATGAAAATCTATTGATGTATTCTGGGACTCGATCGCACGATTTTTGATTTTTCAAAATGTTTACATCTTTTTGAGATACTCTGCAGTTACATTCACACAAAAGACCTTTCAGCAATTTCTTAAACTGTTTCAAAACAGACAACCAGACTACCTAGACTTGTGAATAACAGCAGAAAGAAGAGAGTCATGCTTTTAGCACACACTCCATAATCCACAAAGAGTGAGTAATACAATACTTTTCATAAAAAATCGATGCACATATCGATTTCTTTGGCTGCCATTACGAAAGATGACTTCCCATATCAGAAGTAATCACAAATATCTACGGACTTGAAAAACTTCTATATCTATCAGCCATATTCTATATCATTCTATCATCTCTAATCATTCGCCTATAAGGAAAAAAACTTCTGATACGTTTTCCTCTCTACCAGTAAAGACAAGTTGTCCTTTCCATCACAGTCATGCATCACTTTGAAAAAACATTCATGCCACTTTTTTATCATGTATATTGACCAATTGTAATTAATCAGAAACAACACAAAGCTTTTACAAAATCAAATCTTTTAACGTCTTTTCTCAAGCTACAACTTTAGATTAAGCATGTTCCATCACAGAAGACCTATTTCAATCTGACGAAAGACGATATCCAAGTGCCGGAGCGCTTTTCAGCTGGGACTTAATGTATCTTGTAGAGTTTAGTGACTTATATCCACCCTAAAAACAGTTCATGTCCCTGGCTTGTTTCTGATGAGAACGAACGTTTTTAGTATTATAGCTGGTTATTTCTACAGCATTTGAACCACATTATACAAAAAATGATTTCCAATTTTGATAAAATTTTCAGCATTTGTAGAGTTTTTAATTCTGAGCATTTTGACAAAAAACATTTTTTTCAAAACTCTTTTCTTTTGATGGAGATAAACTCGAAGTACTTTAAGCAGTAAAGATGCAGAAATTCTCAAGAGAATTTTTTTGTGAATTCTTAGGTTTTTACTGGTTAAAGTATTTCGAGTTTATCTCCATCAAAAGAAAAGCGTTTTGAAAAATCTTTTTTTATCAAAATGCTCAGAATTAAAAACTCTACAAATGCTGAAAATTTTATCAAAATTGGAAATCATTTTTTGTATAATGTGGTTCAAATGTTGTAGAAATAACCAGCTATAATACTAAAACGTTCCTGTTCATCAAAAACAAGCCATGAGCCGGAATTGGTTTTATGGTAGACATAGGTCACTAAGCTCTACAAGATACACTAAGTCCCAGCTGAAAAGTGCTCTGGCACTTCGATATGCTACCTCGTGAGAAGAGCTTTAAAGATCTTTTTTTTTGACACATGCCTTACTTACAGATTATTTTTGAAACTTTGAGAGCTAATTTGATTGATAAGACTTTTTAAGTCTCTTCCAAGTACGATTCATTTCTGGTATGTTTCCGAAAGAATACGATACGATTCCAGTGAGGTTCTGCATGGATACGACTAATTTCTGGACTAGTTTCGGTGATCTCGTTTTGTTTTCGGCCGCATACAATATACTTTCCTTTTATTCCAGTGACGGAAAATATTTGGAAGAGGTCGTTTTTTCTGTACGGTGATTTTCTAGTCAAATTAATGCCTTTACCTTTCATGTATTTTTTCGATTGTTTCCGGCAGGAATAAAGCAGAAACAGACCGTTTCCTTCGAGTCCTTGTGGTATTCAGGAATCGGGATCATCGACCTGGTGTTGGCTAATATAATTTTTTAGAGAACGTTAGTTGTTGTTTTTTTATCAAGTCAAGTAAAAGTGTTAAAATTCTGAATACGTAGATGGCTCGAAGTAGTAGATTGAAAAATTAAGATTATGACTTAAATGCGATGGCTTTGGCTTAGTCATGAAACTATTGTCTTATTAGTAGAGATTTGGCGAATGCTTTGATCAATTCTTATTTTAGATTGAACCAATAAACTCATTAGAAGAATCTCTTCTCGCTATCTGACATACTACTAATCTCACCGATTCTTAGTATGGAGATTTAACGATGATCTAACTCAAAGAGCTCGATTTTCTACTGGTTTTTATTCTATTGAAAAGCAACACAGCTTTGTGTTCTATTTTGTTTATATATTTAGTTATTAAGGTTCTTAAAACAACAAATAAGGTGACAGACGATAGCTAGTCAACGAAGACTAAGTAATATTAACAAATCATATTGAAAACACAAATAGTTGAATCAGTTTTTTTGTCCCAACAGCCGATAATATATACATCGCCTCGAACTCGTATTTTCTTCTTAACTACTTCTTTTTTATACTCATTTACATCGAGTTCAATATTGTCGTCACCATTTCGAATTTTCACTGTATGAGCACCGGGTACGATCATATGTATTAGCACTTGCTCATTTTGTCGCAACAGACGCTGAAGTGGTTCAATCAAAATACATTGATGTTCTTCAAATGATTGATGCACTAGTGGAAAAGTGATTGATTGAGAAATATTTGATCCAGGTAATCGTATACAGATGGCTGCTCGATATGTTGTTTCCTTATTTGTTTTGGCATACAAAGTGATCTCATACGGACCATTTTTAGCGGGAGGAGCAATATAACAATTGAATACATCGTTTTGAATTACATCACGTTGACATAATGTATATAATCGTCTTGAATATTCTATGCCACCAATAATTAACGTGGCAAATACATGAGCAGGCTCCGGTGATCTGATAGAGACTTTGAACAAATGTTGATCTGGTAATTTTTTTGAAACTACTTTTGATAAAGATTGATTATGCGTACGTAAATATTGACTCGATTTCTTTCTAGACAAACTATGGATATTATTGTTATCGATAGTATGACTGTCTATCGATGTGTGTTGAGTTAATATATTAGGGATGGTGTCATCGATTGATTGCTGAGAATTTTTCATATTATCGGTAATATTGACAGACAATAATTGTTGCTCCTTAATTGTATCAACCATTGTTTGTTTGATGAGATCTAGTGAAAGTACCTGTTGTTGTTGTGCCACTGCATCAGTTAACGCTTGTTTCTGTTCAGCAAATAAGCGATTCAATTCCGCATCATCATGATGCTGCTTTGTAATAGCGAAATTCTCTATCTTTTGAACAAGAGTATTTTGTAACTGGTTAATAGCATTAGTTTCGGTAGATATTGATTGAAGAATTTCTTCATTTTTTAATATAATTTTTTGTACTTCTTGTTCTATTGTCTGGATTAAAGTAAGTTGAAGTTGTTCCATTGATTGTGATGTATTATGATGTGTATCTAGAGTTTCTATTAATATCTGTTTCAAAGTATCAATTGAAGCAGTAGTAGTGCTAACAGATTTTTCAAATGCTATTGCCAACGAATTATTTTGTTCTTCTAATAGACGAATTATTTCTTCCTTATTGTTAGCTTCTGCTGTTGCTTGTAAAATAACCTCTTTTCCTTTTTTCATTGTTCGAAGTAATGTTCTCTTCTTTATATTCATTTCTTTTCGCAGTGAAGCAAAAAGTAGTTGTCGTTCAGTTCTCATTGCTTTAGTAAATGTCTCTTTGAAAGTTGTTGCATCAATCTCCACTATTTTAGGTGATTCAGTACGTGCACGAAGATGAGAACCTGTAGACTTTCTCGTTTGTGTTGGACTAGTAGTAAACTCATTAGTTGGAGTCGTTGTTGCACGATGAGCTGTGAGTGGACGATGTTTGGGCCGTCGTGCTTGCTCAGATACTGTTGTTGGACGTTTGAACAACGAAGATTTTGACATCGATTGAGTTGTTGACTCACGTTGGTCATCCGCATAATTAAAAATATAATAAGTATTTCTATATGTTGGACGGTCTTTACGAAGACCAAGAACATGATATGTCGACGAACCGACTTTGAACGTGTGAGTAATATCGAAAAATTGACCATCTTGTGTCGTGAGGTTACGGTTTTCTGCATACATTTCTTACTTTGATAAATTATATACAAGCAATGTTTTTGTTATACTAAAAGTTTATCGAAAGCAAAATGATGAGAATTTTTACAGTAATATCAACGGACTAAATGATAGAATTTCTAATGTTTTTCCACTGTTAACACTGACAAGAGAACATACTCAGGTGTCCGTTCACTTTTTCAGTCAGAACTTAGTAGATGTTGTAGACCATAGTGAACTATGTCTACCATAACAAGAGTTCGTGTTGATAGCTGGCTTTTGAAGAAATTGAATATTTTTAGTGAATTTTATCTGTAGGACTCACATTTGTAGCAAGATCATATTTTCGAAAGTCGATCTAAAACTTTGCTCACATAAAGTCGTTAATTAGATTAACTTGTACAAAAAAAATTCAAAATTCTCGAACTAAATGTTTTTGCGACACGGAGCTTTTCTGATATAGACTATTTTTCAACAGTAATATATGCAGCATGTATTTTTTGAAATCATTATATCTTGGAGATATAGTTTAAGAATTCTGAAATTTTTTATGCAAACTAGTCTAATTAATGACTTTGTGTGGACGAAGTTTTAGATTGAGATTCTACAATATGGTCTTGCTACAAATGTGGAATTCTACAATTGAAATTCACTAAAAACGTTCGATCTCTTCGGAAACAACTCATGAGCACGAACTCTTTTTATTGTAGACATAAAGTAATTAAGGTCTATAACATACACTAAGTCCCGACGAAAGAGTGAAAGGATACCTGGAAATATTCTCTTGTACCTTGTTTCCATATTAAGAAAAATTAAGTTCCAAAGAATGAGAATAATATTTCCTTTTTCTTTTTTAGATAAACAAGTTACAAACTTGTATAAAAATTAACTGCTAAAATTAATAATATCACAGTTCCTTGCAACGGAAGAAGATTCAAAAGATGAAGAACGGAAAATATTAAAAAAGAGACTGAAGAAGAAAAATGACGACACCATCAAACAAAAAACAACTTTTCTTTCTATCCACTGAGTAACAAATAAAAAGAAAAATTTTTTTCACTATGTCAACTCGTCTGAAAACAAGATAAAAAGAAAACAATTTTTTCATGCATGCATTAAAAGTGACAATTGTTGACGACCATCGAAAGAATTCAAAGAAAGTGAAGCGTTAGAGATACACATTTTTCCAGATAGTCACTAAATAATACTTAAATAATTTATTTCTGAAATTTTTTATGCAGTAAATAGCAAGATGAGTTGATGATTGGAATCTAAGAAAAGATTTTATTCTAAATTTTATGTTAAAGACTGAAAAGTAAAAATTTCAATTAACAAGGTTTCATAGTTAGTAACGTTTATAATTATATCCGATTATGTAATCAATACCAGAGTGATTCAATTTAAGAATTCCTTCCTACCAGCATTCCATTGTATAAAATACATGTAAGATGCGTGATAGTTTATAATATTTATTGACATTTGTATACGCGTTAATTAATGCATGTACTTCTATATACGCTAAGCAACATTTCTTATGTGCTTCACCGGTTCCATCTAATTATGTAACATGAATTAGAATACAATGGATTAATGTCGTGTTTGAAAGAATTAACTATAATGATGAAATCTGATCAATTCACACAAGGAATTATTGTTAAGATAACGATTTCTACAAGGTTTTCAGAAAAATAGATTTCTAAGTTTACCTTACAAATCAACTAGTTCAGTGTCACCTTATTTTTCAGGTACAACTTATAGTCTTTGCTTATCATAAAATTTTTCTAGATATAATAAATAAATTTGTTTCAAAATCTTTAAGACCTATGATTTGTAGAATATATATTTATATTTTCTATATTTTATCTTTAAATATTACAAATGTTTTTAAGTTATTCGTAAAATAATGGAAATAGAACTTACATTCGGATAGATAGGATTAAATGAAGTTAGTAACTAGAAAATTCTATTCATTATTCGTAAAATCTCTTACGATTTCTTTTGATACTTCTCAAAGCAGGTAATATATCGATTTTTCTCTAAATTAAACTAAACTAATGAATTAAAAAATACCTTGAGTAGATGTGAATAAACTTAAAAATTAAAATAATTAAAATACACAGAAATAAAAACGATTGTATATCCACATTATCAAAAATCAGAGAAGAAAAGCGTTAGAATGCGAAGACAAAGTGAAAAAGAAAAAAGAAAAAAAGCAAAAGGAAAAAAATGAGAAACATAGTTACTGTAAAAAGGAAAACCTAACAAGTAACCAGGAAACATGCAAATTTATGGTAATATATATTTCTCTTATTTGTTTAAAAATGGCTACTTCTTGGAAACTTTCAAAAGTGTTGAAATAGGGAGGAAGTATAGTGTTGAGCAACAAAGAATGGCTTTTTTCAGTGACTGATATAATCATCATCAGGCATAAAGTAATGGTAGTTACAAAGAAAAATGTTGACGACGATCTATTCGTGAATTTTCATTGAAAAGAAAAGAAGGAAAAGAAAAATAATGTCGATAAAAATCTTATATTAGTAAAGAAGCAAAGTAAAAGAAATAAATGCACTGAAAACTGTCGAATAATTTGATGAAAAAAGAAGATTGCTGTAATAAGATTAAAAATAAAAATAAATTACATAATATGATTAATTCATGAGCTAAAATTTATTTAATAAATTTTTTAAGATGTATTATATATTGATACAATATTTGAAGTGTTTTATTATTCAGTATCAATTATAGATGATTTACGATTCATCATTATCAATTCTTTTATTTTTATTTTTGTTAAATATTGATTGAATAATGATATTTATGCTTACATAACATTATTATTTCTGTATTATACAAATTATAAACATCTTGTTTAGATTAAAAAGAAAATCAGATTCTTTGATGATTTCTATCTCAAGATGCATCAAAGATTACATTTTAAATAGACTGTATTGTGATGTAAGAGTATGATTTTATTCAAATCAAATATTAGTCTTAATGTCGTATTATTCGTAACTAGTGAAAATACAACTATTAGAAATCAATATTTGATCAAGGCAATAGCAACCATAAAAGTATTTACCAGGATGAATTTATAATAATTTCTCTTATATTTGCATTTGATATCGGTTCGGTGAATATCGTTATGTTATTATAGTCTAATGAAAAATTTATTTTGCGAGTCATAGTCTTAATATAGCTGTTCCCATTTCCTTCAAAATTTTAAAAAATATTTCATACATACGTATACATTTGATGAATAATTATTCTTTTAAAAATATCATGAAAATCATCTATTTAATCGAGTACCTTTTTATTTTTTTGTGAATTGAACATGTTCATACTATGCATTTGATGTTAGTATCATTGTACTAAAATTCTCAATTATTGATTTGTATACAATGAATTCGAATAATGATTTACTCCATAAGCATTCGAAAAGACATATCAATATTGATGATTTCTGACATTATTTGTCGATTGATCAGAGTATAAATGAATTATATCAATTACTTATGGTTGCAAGAATATCTCACAAATAAAACTAATACAACATCATAGCCATTTTTCCAGAGAAGCAAATCAAATCAATATAATTTGCTTTGATTCGAAGTTACATCAATGATCCATAAGAAATTAATCATCCAACATATGTAACATTTTATAACTGATCTAATCTTTTATCGATAAGATATATCTTTACAAAAAGAAATAGCTTCTCATTTATCTGAAACGACCCGTCACTATGTAGTATGATATCGATTTCATATGACATTTACCATTTCTAATAGTATTTGTTTGATTATCTCTAACACGATATGATAACTCATGTTTCATGTTTACAAAAATAATTATTGTTTGATAAACATAAAATTTATTACTTACAAGATTTATTATTTTGTAAAAAAAAAGAAAGGATTGTTTTTCAGTATAAAATAGAAGAAGAATATATGTTCTATTATTTCTTTTCTTTTTTTATATCAATCTCGTTTACATTCATGAAGATCAAGTAGAATAACAATAGAAAGATATCCAAGATGTTTTTCTTTATCATGTACAGTAACATGATATGTTTTATTTAATTTTGAAAATGAATCAATAACTTGAAATAATGTTTCTGGTGGTTGAAATGTTGGATATTGATCTGATTTTAAAGGATTATTTTGTTCCAGAGTATCTATTATAGCTAAACGCCGATCTTTTAAATCCGAACTTCGTACTTTATATAATTTTCTTCCAATAACAATTGTATAAAGACAATTATTATAACCACAAAAATCATATCCTAATTGACCAAAAAGAGTTTTTTCATTCAATTCATTATTTACTATATATATTAAATATTTTCGAGGTGTATTTGGATCTGGCTCTATAATACAAAATTCATCATCAATATATTTTGATGTTGGATTTGATAATTTAACACTAGAAGAAAAAAAAAGAATATCGTATGTAGAAAAAAAGAAAGAAATAAAATAAAAATAAAGTTAATTATTACTTGAATTGACCAATACATTCTTTAGAAGGTGTAACTTTTACTGTGTATACTATTTTTGAACCACTAACAATTTCAAATTTTTCTTTACCGAATGAAAATTGTCGTGAAATTGTGTATTTCATTTGTTTCTAATCGTGTATATGTATATAATGAAGTAGAAGATGAAATATAAGAATTTAATGATGTTTGCGCTTGTTGATGGTTTATTTGTTGAATATATAATTGTATTTTGTTTCGTTCTGTGTTTGACCTTCTATTTACAAGATATTTTCATTATTACACTGAATGATGAGGCCGAGAGTCTTATGTTGTTCTTCGTTGATGTTAAGAAACGACAAATATTACTGATGGAAGTAACGTTCTTTTTTTCTCTTTTTTTTTTTTTCATTCGTTATTATTACATTCCGTATTCCTCTCCGTTGTTTTCTCTTGCTTCTCTTTTTTTTGTCCTCGTCTATTGAGGAAAATAGTAGCACTTCTCTAGTGAATTGCAAAAAAAATATAATAATAATGTCGCCTTCTTCATATATATATATATATAGAGAGAGAGAGAGAGAAGGCGCGAAAACGATTGATTTTAGTGTAGATTATTGTTTACATTGTTCGAATAGTAGCAGAATAAATATTGACATTTTCATTAGAGCTTCTCATACTCATCACTATTAACAAGGTAAAATTAAAAAGACAAAGTTTCATTTTATATTAATTTTGATTATTATACAAAAAAGTAGAATGCCATTTTTGATATCAATAAAACATGCTTTTAAAATTGATAATTCTGCATATGTTCTCTTTTTATTATGTAAACATATATGTAAATGTATGTGTATATATTAATATATATATACATACATATGCATGTAGATAAAAAGGACTAATGTATTTTTAAAGGTAAATTCCAAAAGAAGAAAAAAAAAACAATTAAAAATGAGATTGAAATAACAAAAGCAGCCAGCGTAGAAAAATGAGAACTGTGATCAAGAAGTATTGTAGTAAGCGATATTAAATGTTCTTGCAGCACAGTAAGTGAAAAATAGAGCTATGATGTAAAGAATAAAAAACCAATTTTATATAAATGATGATGAAGAGAAAAATTATATGAATGCCAAATAATTCTTGTCAAGCAATCTTAATGTCGATCCTACAAAAAAGAAAAAGAAAAACAAAACAATTTGAAATCGTTTCTTCTAAATAATTCATTGATACACAGTCAAAATTCACAATTGATTAATAACCTCATACCATAAGCATTCACAAATAGTTTAGTGACTACTCTTACCGATTTCATTATTAGTAGAATTTTATTTTTTCTGTAAAAAAAAATATTTGAATTTTTTATGATGAAATTTGAAGAGAGAAAAAAAAAGGTGCAGTTTATTTTTTTTTTTTGTTTATTATTCGTACCTGAATGCTTGACATAACACTACTGGCTAATGATGATAATTTAGTAGCTGCTTTTGAGACACCGTCTTTAAAATCAGTTGTCATGCCTGATAAATCAGGACCGTGATAAGTTGAACGATCTTGTTTTCTTTTATTTGGATCATCAAAAAACTCTTCACTTGAAATACTTGTGTTTCCTTGAAAGCGTGATATTACATTGTTTTGATTCTACAAGAAACCAAATTAAAAAGAAAAAAAATAGTTTTTTTTTCAGCATCAAATTTTCATTTATAAAAAGGAGATTATTTTATTATTATTATTAATATATGATCAAATTCAAATTTGACAGTTACAGATACAAGCATTTGCAATAGAAGTTTGGTTTAGATTAGCAGGTGCACGCTACCAGAAAATGTCGGTTAGTAAGAAAAAGACCCAAGAACAAAACAAATGCTTGACTTTTTTTTTGTTGTTTATATTGAAAAACATGCAGCGAAAAAATATAATGAAAATTGGTATGAATATTTCTTTTTTGATTTTATTAATACATGTACGACGATCACATACGTACATCGGAATCTTTATTAAAAAATTGATCACTTGATATAGCTTTAGCATTGGAAAAACGTTTTTGTGCATCACTATTATTTCCTTCGCCATAAGATGTAGATGATTGATTTTTTGATTTGGATGATGTACTAATTATGAAAAAAAAATAAACATAATATTTTATTTAAACTTTTTGTATACCTAGCAGTATCATTAATGGAATATGATGAACTATTCGTTCCACTAAATCCAAAATCTTTAGTTGGAGTGTTTCGATCAATAATTTCCCAATCAGTATTGAATGTATCCGTATTTTTTGATGATGATTTTGGTTTAAATAAATCATCATCTAGTCTATGTAAAATCAAGAAAAAAAACAAAATGAAAACTTGATAGATTAAAATAGTTATCATGTTTTATTTTTTTGTTAAACAAATTTTTCTCTGTGATTATTTTTATGTTAATTAAAAATTAGTCAATTATCTAATAAAAGAATTAATAATTATTATCATCAGTAATTATTCTTATTTTATGAAATAATCTCGAATGATTCAAGTATCAACAATATGAGAAAAGATATATGTAATATTTGAGTTTCTTTTGAAAATTATTGTTTTCATTAGTTTTTATTGTAACAATACATTAATAATCTTCATGTTTCATAATGGATGATATATTTCATCTCAACTAATAAAATATGCACTGAAATTTATCATAACTCGTTATGATTTACATATGAGGCAATTATTCAGGCAGAACTATCAATAGTTTTCCTAAAAATTTCACACACGAGGGACTACAGGGACTTATTTTTTTCTAGGGAACTCATTTCTTTATTGAGGATTTATTGTGATTTATTAATATTGATGCTATCCCAGTATACTCACATCAACACCCACACTCACATTCACACCCACACCCACACCTACACCCGCACCCACACCTTCACTCTCACCCACACCCTCATCCACATTCTGTATGTAGTGAGGAACTGTATGGGATTTATCTCAAAGTGCCTACGGACTTATTGAAAAATTCCAAAGAAATAAGTCCCGGTAGCTGCTGGACCTATGCACTCAAGTTTGAATAGACTGTGAATATTTGAAGATAAATGAATTTTCGTCATCTCGTTCTTAGTTAAATCTAGTTATAATTAAATAGAAGAATAAGTTAAATAGCTAAGCATTATATTTAATAAGACAAATCTTTCTCTCGCTTCTTTTCAAAATTCAAATAATTAAAGTGTTAGAATAGTACATGCATAACTATTATTAATTCTATGAGTACTTATTAGAACTCTCATCATTTTGATCATCATCTTTCGATGATAACATATCATAACTAAATAATAAATTGAATTATAAATTGATTAATAACTTCAAATACATACTTTGATCGACTACTAAAACCAGATGGTTCAAAATCATCAAAAAAATCTCGATTTCGTGGTGCAAGAGAAACATTTCTTGTTGCTGTTACACCTTCTTGTTGAATTGTTTGCATATCAGTCATAGCACTATGACTTACACCACTAAATCAACAAAAATTCTGATGTAACTATTGTTTTTTTAATTAGAAATAACGGATGGTTCATAAATAATAGGACAATTTGAATTTCCGTTTTTGGAGAGCGGAAACACGGTTTAAAAGTATCATTTTAAGCTAAACCGATAGTTTTGTAGGACGAAAAGTTCTCTATCGAATAATCCTTAAAATAGTGTCGTTAAACTGTGTTACTGTCTTCAAAAGAAGATCAAAGTGTCCCATTCTTTATGGATCGCCCACTCGTAACATCTTACCTTCGACTACCAAAACCCATGCCAAGACGTTCCATTTGTTCAGCTTTCTTAGGATTTGATTGTTTTAATTTGGCTTCTTCTACTTCACGTTGTTTATTAATATCTTGATAAGCAAATTTAAGATTTGCCCTAAAATATAAAAATTATTAAACTATTTTTATCATAAATATTTTTCTTACATTTGTTTTTCAATTTGTTTTTCGGTTTCTTCACGATTTTTAAGTTCAAAATGAACTTGTTGTTCACGTAATTTTTCTTGTTCTTGAACATTACGTTCGATTTCTTTGAAATCAGTTGTTACTTTTTGTGCACCAAAACCTTTCTATAGAAACAAAATAAAAAAAATAAATTTTATGTTTGTCAACAAAAACAAAAAGAAGAAAAAACCAATCAAAATTGACAATATAGTTAAATTAACAAACCTTTTTCGCTGCTGGTGCTCGCCGTTGACCAATAGTTGTTTTTTTTGGATCGAGTGTTTTTACTGAACCATCATTATTCAAAATACTTGGATCAACAGATGGTCCTTCTGTTTGTTGTTCAGCTAAAAATAAAAATAAACCATAGAAATTGAAGAATAAGTAAATAGAAATAATTTACTCTTATCAAGACTTTGATTACTGGAATGTGAAGAAGCTGTTATACTATCATCCCAACCAGTTTTAGTTAATACTTGAGAATGTTCATGAAAGAAATCACCTTCTTTCTTTTCACCTGTCAATTGACTATGTTCATTCTTATGTCCATCATCAAGAAAAAGCTAAAGAAAATATTTTAAAAAAAATATGATTAAAATAATTTTTTTTTCTTCATTATTTGATTACTTTAGTTCCATATTGTTTCATTGCTTTAGTAGCAAGTTGATGAAGTTTTTCACGATAAAGTTGTGCCGCTCGACTATTATATTTTTGCTGAATATCTTTTGATTGACAGCCATGTTGTTGAAAAAATGCTTCCTAAAAAGCAAAAAAAAAACATCAAATTTAGAAATTTCATTAATCATTAAAAGATAATCTACTAACAGCATTAGCATTTCCACCAACTTGCATAGCTCTTAATATAAAAGAAAATAACGATCAAAATTTCATACATAAATATAACATACCGAAGTTGAACCCATCCCCAATTAGTATCAAGATTAGTTGAACGAATAAATGATAAATGAACACCAAGACCACGATGTCTTGCCGAACAATCAATACATAAAAATACACCATATGTAATTGATGCCCAGGTGGGATTTTTTGAATCACAATCGAAACACATCTATCAATACATATATAAGTGACATAATTAAAAGATTACATTGACAAACCTTATTAGCAGGAATTGCTCTTAATCGTTTAAAAATTGCATCAATGTCTGATTTAGTAGGTTCTTCCATTATTCTAAGAAATTAATATAATCTGTATTTATTTATTTTTCGTTATAAAATCAATAAATCTATAAATGAAAAACCAGCTAATCTTGGTTACTCTTAAATAGATTTTGTTTGAAACTAAAAGCAAATAAACGAACTGTGAATAATGAATGACAACAACGATCGATGTATTATATTATTCGTTAAGTGTATAATTAATATGTACCAATTAATTTGAAGATCATTAATACAAATGAATATCTATAAAATAAAATTAAAATTTACAAACTTGAACTTATTTATTCATTTAAAATTAGATTTAAATTAAATGTATTAAAAATAATAATACGACATCTATTAAATGATGTTATTTGTTATTAAATTATCCTGTTAAGAATTAATGCAGAACGAAAGAGTAAGTTTCACAGTAACAACTGTTGTGGAAAAAAAACTTTGAGTCACAACTTGATATAATTGCGCAACGTTTACCATTACCATGACTGGTGCAATTTTGACATCTGAGTCATTTAAGTTATTATATATGGTTTGACAGCATCCGTCAATAATCATTCCCATATCCACAATGTCTATGAAAGATACATGGTTGTAGATATTCAATTTTTATTAAAGCTTTTTTTGCTTATTATTTTCAGTATTTAATATTCTATTCACAATTATAACTAAAGCTTCGACAAAATTTAGAACTCATGTTTATTTTTACGGGTAAAACACCAGCATCTACTACTGCAGTAAATTCAACATTTACATTGTCTTCTGCGACTGGATCACAACCACCAATTACATCTGGTACTTCATCTGTACCACAACCTTTTACATTCACTGCTGGTGCACAAAATACACTAACTGCTAATCAATTTGGCAATTCATCAACATCAACTACTCCTGCTAATTTTACACCTGCAAGTATGAAAGGAACAATGTAATTGATGATTTTATTTTAACGATTTGTATTTTTAGATTTTGGTGGTACATCTATATTTGGTACAAATCAAGCAGTACCAGCAACACAACCAACAAATATCTTTGCTTCAAACACCACAGGAACACCATTTAAATTTGGTCCGGCATCTACACAAGGTACGTTTTTCGTTTTTTACTTTTTAAAAAATTGAAATTATTGACAATTTTCAATCGTCATTTCATATAAGACGTAGTTTATATCTTCAATTTTCTTTCATCAAAAAAACAAGCAAATTTATCAGTAATAATTTTTTTTCTTATTTATTTAGCAACATCTTCTATTGCATCAACAACGTCAACAATGTCCAATAGTAATAATACTTCAGCAACAACAATTCCATCTCTCTTTGGCACAACAACAAACCCAGGTCCATTTCGTACAGCAACAACGAACCTAGCTCCATTTGGCACAACAACAAACCCAAGTCCATTTGGTGCAGCAACAACGAATCTAGCTCCATTTGGTACAACAACTTCGGGTCCCTTCGGCGCAACAACTTCGGGTCCATTTGGCACAACAACAAACCCAAGCCCATTTGGTACAGCAACAACGAATCTAGCTCCATTTGGCACAACAACTTCGGGTCCCTTCAGCGCAACAACTTCGGGTCCCTTTGGTACAACAACTTCAGGTCCCTTCGGTAGAACAACTTCGGGTCCATTTGGCACAACAACAAACCCAGGTCCATTTGGTACAGCAACAGCAAATTCAGCTCCATTTGGCACAACAACAGCAAATCCAACTCTATTTGGCACAACAACTTCGGGCTTGTTTGGCACAACAAATTCTATGAAATATACTACATCAGGTAGTTTATCTAATCAAGCGTTTCTAGCTACAGCAGGAACATCAACAACTCCGTTTGCATCTGGTACAAATACAGCATTGACAATGAATGCATTTAGAACGTCAAATCCAACACAAACTAATCTAGTTGGTACTGCAACATCTGGAGTACCGATCACGACATCAGGTTTTGGGTCAACAATATTAACAAAACCATTAGATGTTCAGTCAAATACAACTCAAACATTATATAGTAAGTATTCGATAAAGTAACATCTGAAGATAAATTGTTTTTTTTTGTGACTTTTTAAGATTTTCCACCGAATACAAATACATCGACATCATTTAAATTTGGACCTCCAACGGCTGCCAACACAAGTATATTGCCACAATCAACGACAGCAACATCCCAGAATAGCACTTTTCCAATTACTACAACAAATAATATTAATGTTCCTACTACAACAACAATACCATTTTCAGTTCTATCATCTGCAACAAATATTTTTCAAACTAATGTACCAGCAACGACAACTACATCTACTTTCAATCCTTCATTGTTTACAGGTTTACCTGTAACACAAAATCAACCAACTATGACATCATCATCATCATCAACAATGATATCTCAAGTACAAAAACAAGAACAAAATACTGAACAATCAATTTCAACGATTCAACAGCAATTTCTTGCTGCATCACTTCTTGATCCCTATGCTAATCGTGGAAAAAAAGATTTTTCTAGTATTGATCAAATTGAAGTACCTATAGAACCTGCTGTAGTTTCAACTCTACCAGCAACAACCATCACGACAACAGTAACAACATCAACACCAATGCCGAATACACTTTCAATACAAACAAATTTTCGAAAAGGATCATCAACTCATTCATTAGTTGATATTAATTTTAAGTTAAAACCTGTTTCATCATCACCAACACTAAATGATACTATAAAACCATCTAATCAACAGTCAACAATATCAACCGGACAAATGAAAAGTACATTAAAAGAAAATTTTACTGATGAAGAAGAACTTGTTTTACTTGGCCAAACTAAAATATCCAAATTACGTTTATCAAATGCTATTATTGATCCATCATATCAATCTAATTCTATTCGTTCACTTTATCCTTCAAGACGTCTAGTTGAACTTGAAAATTTAATTAATATAAGACCACCATCTTCTCCAAAAACAACAGTTAATAACCAACGAATATCACATTCAGCAAGTAAGCCTATCTGAATATATGACATGAACATTAACTTTTTTCTTTAATTTTATAGATGAAAATCGTGATTTATCACCAAATCATCATTCAAATTCATCGATTGTTTCTCCACAATTATCATCACCAATAATTCAACGTAAAGCAAAACAAAATTCTCAAGATTATCATTTACCAATTTTAACTCGTAATAATTATTATATGAAACCAACTATATCCGAATTAAAATCTTTATTTAATGATAATGGTGAATGTATTCTTTCACAATTTACTGTTGGACATGAAAAATATGGTTCTGTAACGTTTTATGGTCAAATTAATGTTACTGGTCTTAATCTTGATGAAATTAGTAAGTAATAGAAATTCAAATATATTCATTTAAATATATACATATATTATTTTTTTGTTTTTAGTTGAAATTAATCGTCATGAAGTTATTGTTTATCCAGATGATAATAATAAACCATTAGTTGGTAAAGAATTAAATCTTCCATCTCGTATAACATTACTTGATGTTTATCCAATTGATCGAAGTACACGTGAAGAAATAACTGATATTGAACGTATAAAAGCATTGAATTATAATGATTATTTACGTACAATAACTAAAAAATTTGATGGAGAATTTATTAATTATGGAATTCATGATGGATCTTGGACATTTACGGTAGAAAAAAAAATTTAATTTAATTCTAAATATAGCACTTGTTTTTTTGTTTTGTTTTTAGGTTAAACATTTTACACGTTATGGTCTTGATGATAATCAAAATGATTTTATTGTTAAATCAAAAATAGTTAATCAACCAATAATTACTTCAAATTTTATTGAATATGATGAAACAATGTAAAATGAAAGTAAGCTGAATGTTTAGAACAAATAAAATATATTTTAGTCTTATGTTCTGAACAAACAGCATAAAGTATTTTAAACAAGAGATTATATTTATAAAATGAAAATAACTAATATGAATTATTAGAGATTTTATTATGTATTTTTTTAAAATAAAATATTTTCAGAAAGAAATCTTATACTAACATAAGTTAACAAAAAATTTTTTTTCGTATCAATAACATTCCTGAGACTCATAAGTAACTCTCTCGCTTATAAGTATATATACGATAGTAGAGGATCAAAGTACTTGACATCAGCATTAATAGGGAACTAATAATATAAAATCCCTCTTCACAGTAGAAGACCTCTGAAAATTTGTACGCTTGGACATCATAGAAGACTTGAGATCTTCTATTGTGGAGAGGGATTTACAAAAAATAATCAAAAATTATCTATTTCTCTTTGCAATTCTGTTATTAATAGGCAGTAGACCGTCATGGTTGAGTGACTACATAGTCTGACACATATCTACAAAATCCTGTGTTCAAACTTTGGTACTATTAGAGATAAAATGGCTCTGGACAAGTTACTAACGTCTGTTTGTCTTAGAGTATTCTTCCTTCTTTCCTAATAGATAGTGTGAAAGTTTCTGAACAAAAAAACAATATTTGTTCATTTTTGATTCGCTTGTAGGTACTCTAGACGAATGAAACAGTATGGTTTAGATCCAAAATTTTCTGTTCGTTCAGAATAAAGACTTATAAATTTTCGATCAACATTAGTGAAAGAATTTTAAAAAAAAATCTCAAAAACTAAAGTTAGACAATAAACATACAAGTTTTTGCTAACTCTATAAATTCTTTTGTGAAAGTGCTAAAATCTATTGACCTTTAAAATTTTGTAAAGCGAATAATTCTTTACAAAATGTGATATCGAACTAAATTGTCGTTCTTAATCAAGCGGAGCAATAAAGATTGTCTCCGGAGATATTTTCTATATAAAATACCCTTTCATCAAAAATGAGGGCAATAGGAAAAACAACAATTTAGTTGCTGTATACATAGACAAAAAGGAACCCAAACAGTACATTTCCCAGAGCAGGTTTTCCTCTAGATGTTAATACATGAACAAAAGTTTCAATATTTAATTTTGGATTCTATTACGGTAAAAATATGAAAATTCGAAAATAGTATAAAATTGTAATTCTAGCACATAGTTTTTCATCTATCTATCTAGAGTACTTTTAAGCGAATTAAATATTTTGTCCAGAAACTTTCGTATCATCTATTAATCGATTAATAAATTAATCATATCTATTACACAGATAGTTAATAGACTATACTAATTTCGTAAATATCTTCATTGAAAATTTTTTCTTAGTAATTGAATCATGTTGTTTATCACACTCGGCAACATCCAATTTATTGCTCGGCTTTATATTGAAGAATAAAAATGGTGTCAATTGTTATAAAATTGATTGTATCAATGCATATTGAATCAATCAACACAATAATTAAGCGAGAAGTATTAAATATAAATTTTTTTATATTGAATATATTCTAGAGATGAATTCTTCTTTGATAATCTTGTTAACAATTGTATTCAATGAACAATAGATAAGAACAATCCTTGATTATCAACTTATCTGATAATAATATCCATTAATACTATTTAGATGAAAATCTACGAAAAGGATTCTTTTCTTTTTATTATTAATTATCTTATCTATTTGATTAGAATAGCACTATATAAACAAAATGATATTCAATAAAGTAATTCAGTAATTAATAAGTGTTTGTCAATCATTAACTAACAGGCGTTCACATTTTTCTATTAATTTTACTAATTAAAAATTTAAACGAGTATGTTATTGCAAACATTTTTTTATAATACACTATTAAATAAATTATTATATCTAGAAATGCACAAATATAACATATATTTTACAATCAATATTTGATGGTAAATTGTTTTAGTGAATTACTGCAATATATGATGGATCCAAAAATATGTATATGAATTTATTTAGAATTTTATTTATTTTGTTTTTAAAGATAATATTTTAGAGTTATTATTGTTTTAGAATAAGATTGGAACAATCGGTTAATATGTTGGAAGTAGTTGTTAACCAATGAGGTGGAAATGATTGATGAATTGATGGACGATCACATAGATGTTTATAGTAGGAATCTATACATGAATTAAGATTTAAGATAAGAAGAATATGTGGTTGTTTTTCTGTTTACATTCAGTTTTTTCATATTGTAAGAAAATGATGAGATTATTTGGCTTTTAGGCATCTTTTATCTAAATTTTAGCATTCATAATCTTATTTAGACACTTCACTTGTCAAAATATGTTATATATCTAAGAAATCAGAAGTGGGAGTGATATTTTAGGAGATAAGGGATAAGTCTCAGCCAAAATTCAAATTTATTTTTATTCATTTTGTAGTCTATATTCATTCGGATAGATATACATATACACTACAATATAACAGTTTTAATTGATTCGAACAAAACTTTGATGTGGAAATCTACCTTCTTCTTCTTCTAATGTCGAAATGAAAACAATCAACTGTTTCGTATCAAATACATCAATATTACGAAAGATTCATATTGATCTTGTTTCTTACTAATTTTGAAGAAAAAGTTCGTTCGTGTTTAAAATTGAACGGATAACATGAATTTTGCAATTGTTGAAAGTGTTTTTACTTACATTAGATACAGTCCTCGACCTCACCTAGTAATATATGAACGTGTTAGTCATAGCAATTAGTGTATGAACTGTGTTTTAAGTAGACAAATGCTCCTGAAAGTTTACTTCCAAATTTCTGTTCTCCAATTGAACAGTACTATTTATTAGATATTTCTTTTTTTCTGATTATTCAAAGTAGATTCTATAGCTTAAGGAAGATTTTTTCTAGTATGTACATATTATTTCCGAACATGTAATAATTAAGATTTCGATATATTTTTTCTTTTGTTACCGAGTTGTTCATGTAATCGTATTGGATAACCACAATGAACAAGAAAAGCTAATTGTGGTAAAAGAAAGATATCGGCTAGTGTAAATAGATTGCCAACAGCATATAAATTTTCTTGATTTTGTTGTTTGAATCTATTGTTCCATCGAATCAATTCATCTACAAGTATCTCTTTACGTTTGTTCAATAAATCAATATTATATCGTTCTGGTGGTGTATGCCAAATATAATAGATTACATTTTCACTACCAAATTTTTGCAATCGAAGTGACTATAAATTAGAATCATTTTTTTACTATAAATATTATAAAATTTAAAATCAAAATAACGTACATCAAAAGTACATTGAAGTACTTGTGCTCGTAAATATGGATCTTGAGGTAAAAATTTAATTCCTTGATTTTTTATTAAATCCTAAATAAAATAAAAAATTTATTTCTATGTTAAATAAAATTTTTTGTTTGATTCTACTTCTAGATAAAAACATATTGCTAAAGATTCATTAAGAACAATATTTCCAATTTTAAGTGAAGGTATCTTATTTAAATAAATAAAATAAAAAATAATGAATCTTGATTCTTTTTTTTTTTTGTACTTCTCCTCGTGAATTTTGGTCGATAATCGGTTTCATTTTATGTTCATTTTGATCTAATGAAATCATTTGATGTTTATAATCGATAATGTGTTTTTCACTTAAAGCAATTTGTACACGCCTAATTGCATTTAAATATATATTTATATTGATAATTTAATAAATATCTCTTTTTCTTTTTAATATTTACCAACAAGGAATACTACCCGACGCCCAATAAAGATATATATCATCTTTCAATGAAATTTTCTAATCAATGAGAAAAAAAAAACTCGACATGTCGTTTTTCTTTTACTCTTATATATGTTCAAGAACAGAAACTGACTTGTGAGGGTCGTATATATTGATGATTATATGACATACTCGCATTGATTGTCAGTTAATGTTTTTTTCACTAATAATGTAATGACCTGTCATTGTCAATTATATCATGGTTAGTCATGCACAGACACGAATGTAACCTTCCCGCGTTAAAGCAACAGTTGAAAAACAACTGTCAATCTTTTATGATTTTTTTTTTCTATTAATCTTAAGAAATAGTATAAAACTGCGCTATTGCTGTTATTTATTGCTTCGCTTTTTTTTTGCCTTCATGTTAACACATGGGAAAATACGTTAGTCTTTTTCTTTTTTCTCTCGTCTCTCTCCTCGATTTTCCCATTCTATTTCTTACTACTATCCACTTCTGCTCTAGATAATGATAGATACTATTCTATGATTCCAATCAGCAAACTGATGTATGCAACTACTATAACTCATAGAATACATGACGATAGAAGAACTAACAACAATGATGATGATGATGACTGATCAATATTGGTGGGAGGCAATGTTGTTTTTTTGTTCTTGCTACTACTAGTTTACATCATTGACCTGTGCATATATGTGTGTATGTGTATGTGTGACGATTGATAATAAATCAATGCATTGCCGATAGGATTACTCGAACAAATTCGAGGTTAAATAAGTAAGTCTATTGTCTATTATTTTCTTTTTTTGTTTCTTCATTGAGTACAAGTGTTAATAAATGTTTAATAGAAATTTAAAACAATGGCTTTTTCTCGACATTCACTTCGACGTGTTATTGGTGATATGGTTCATCGACATAATGGTAAAAATGATACAATAAATTCTTCTTCTATTGACCATCAAAAAAACAATAATAGATCAAAAGATAAAAATGATCGAAATTCTATTATAAGTAATGGTTCCCTAACGGTATGTATGATCTTTATAAGATAACAATATCAATAAATAATTCTTTTTTTTTTTTTTCTTCTATTAGTCATCTTCAACATGTTATGAACGATTATATAAAAGTGAAAAAGAAGTATGTAAATCATTAAATTATCTTGATCAAGTTTTAACACATAATAAAATTGAAATTCTTCCAAATATTATTACATCATTAATTGAAAATATATTTGATATTGATAGT